GTCTGTGGCATGCCAGAAGCTGGGCCACACAAATAAGCGAAGCCCCATCCATGGGATGCCAGCAGCATAGGAAACCACACCCCTTACTGGTCCGCAGAAAAAAACCCCTCCACGGAACTGGTCCCTGGTGCCCAAATAGTTGGAGGCTGCTGCTTCAGAGAATGTTTGGATGCAAAATATTGCTACAATTAAAAATTGATTGAAAGGTGGCATCATCAGGTTAGTTGTGAGTGCTCCGTTGCTAGATGTTCTCAAGAAAAGATCAGACAACAATTTGCCCAGAAGGATATATATCCTTCCCATGGCAGGAGTCCTCCAAGCCCTATATTCTGTGATTCTATAATGCATAGGATTTTTAGAGTGCATTTAGACAATTAAGTCTGAGAAATACCTGTTAAGATTATCAGATGATGATGCCACCCTTTTTTTCAGTCGGTTCTCCATGTTTTATCATTTGACAGGCTAATGCTGATGACAGCTAATGCTGATGCCTACAAACACTGATGCATAAAATGTAAATCCAATTTCCCACACACATGGAGGTCCATTCCCCCAGGTTTCAATTTTTGATTATAAGACTCAAGGTTCATTTGATTTGTAAACTGTGATCAGTAGTATATGTATGGTATGTTCATGAAAAACTGCCTATTCCCTTCTGGACTTGTTCCAGTGGTGGTATTCAATATTTTTTTACTACTAGTTCTGTGGGCATGGTGTGGCTTGGTGGGCGTGGCAGGGGAAGGATACTATAAAATCTCTATTCCCTCCCCACCCCACTAACCTGCTTTCCAGCTCTGTTCTCCTGTGCAGGACAATTAAAAGAAGACTCAGCCAATCCGCTGGGACTCCAGTCAGCGGAACTCGGGAGGCAGCGAATAAATGGGGGCGGGGCCAGAGGTATTTACCAGTTCTCTGGACTACTCAAAATTTCCACTACTGGTTCTCCAGAACCTGTCAGAACTGTCTGAATACCACCTCTGCTCTGTTCCCTGTACAAACAATTGGAGCCTGTGACAGTGGAAGGAGAGATCTTTTCCAGAGATGGAACACCATTGCAGAATAATTTCTTCACATATCATATTTCTCTTACTTTACTGCCAAGGAAAGTCCAGCCTGACCATTTTTGACCATTCTTGTAGGGTTTAATAAATTATTTTATTTCTGCTTTTCTTGATTTATTGAAGGTTTTCCTTTGCTTTTATGGGCTAATGTCAGGGGTGTCAAACTCGTGTTGTCACAGCATGTGACTTATCGTGGTCCCCGCCCCCCCTTCACTAAACCAAGCATGGGCATGGCCAGTGTGTGACGCATCCAGCCCACGGCCAGGAGTTTGACACCCCTGATCTATGTTATGCTTTGCCAAACAGGAACTCTCAAAGGTGCTTTTTCAAAA